GCCACCTCCATGCATCTTGACAGATTTTAATGAAGCATATGTTTCCTTACTGAAGGCAGTACAGCCAAATCATGCTTTGTCTTCTTCGCAGTACGAAATTGATAACAAAAGCGTGACAAGAGTGACAGACAAGATAATTAAATCTGTAAGATATTTTAATTAGGAAGTATGGCATAATTTGAATGGGCGCTTTTGCTTTGCTCGCTATGGAAACAAGAAAAGTTTGCCTCTTAACTGCAAGCAGAATGAATCAAAGCTGTAATGTAGTGCCCTAATAGGAAAGGAGCTGCTGCCTTTCATTCTTAGACAAGCTTCAAATTTGGATTTTAAATTAACGAGTGTGCAGAAGCAACTGTACATTAACATAAATGTATAACATATTAGTAGAAATACAGACTGCACTAATGAGATCATCCTCCATTTATTGAGATAAAACATTAATTACGATGGCAAGTTATCACAACTTTAACTATCAATTGAGCGAGGTACGTTTATTCCAATTACTGATGAACCATGTTGTCTGTAAGAAAAATGCTCAGCTTCTTTAATCTTAGAAATATGTGCCACTATAAACTGAATTTGAATCCTTTGTATCTGAATTTGCATTGCTCAAATTTGAGTAATTGTATTAAAAAATATCTGAATTCAAAGTGGAAAATGTAAAACTGTATTTATTAGACTGAAATTGAATTCAGTTGCTCTGCAATAGTATTTGATTTTCATTGAAAATCTTTGTACACTTCCACATTGGCACTAGGTTTTGAATTCATCCTCAATTTTGTAATTTAAATTCAATGTTTTACAAAATCATTTAGGCTGAGCAGTTCAAATTTAGATATAAATGACTTGACTACAGTTTTAGTGGCACATATTTCTGCCCATATGAATGTGTGTCTCAGTAAATTGAATTTGAGCAATTTTAAATTTTGAATATGGAAGTATAGAGTCAAACATAACATCCTCACATTGCTGCCCAATCATTCATCTAAAACCCAAAGAGAATCGGCTTGAAGTAATAGAAAATGGAGAGAGAGAGAAAAATCAACAAATTCTAACACTGGAAAAGCCAGAATTAAATATCTAATAAATGAAAATAGTAAATCAAATACAGTAAATCCACTAACATAGTGTCAAGCCACACTACAGGTCCAAGCTTGACAAGCCTGACAGTTTTCAAATTACAAAAAAAAAAAAAAGCATTTCTCTCTTCTACTTCTCTTTGGTACAATATCAACACATTCTGTGAATTATGAACATTTTGTACTTTCTTGTGCAATATTGATTTTTCTACATATATTAGCATATGTGCTATGTCATGATTATATTTCTACTTACAACCTGTGCAATGTAGATAGTAATCTGTGCAATAGTAATACTGTATTTGAATATTTGTGTTCATGAAAGAATCCGTGCAACACCACTGATATGTGAAATACTGTTATTTCTAGAACTAGTACTTGTGTATATTTTGGGTAATTTTTATTTTTGTATTAAATTCCTTAAATGTTTGCTGCTGCAACACTGCAAATTTCCCCACAGTGAAATTAATAAAGGCTTATCTTATCTTATCTTATCTTATCTTATCTCATCCAAACCTCAAAGTCTGCGTCAACCTAACTACATGTTTTTTTTCCCCCCCGAGTTTCACAATTGTTTAAATGGACAAAAAAAAAAAGAAAAAAAGAGAGAGCAGCAGAGCACATGTTTGCCTTCACATCTCCCAAACGCATCTTTGTTCCATCCTGAAGTCGGACCTCACTGCTAGTCTCCTTTTGCTCCACTGTGTGGTGCTTTAGTGCTGCCGCTGAATGAGCGCTGCAGCGTTCCAGCTGTGCTTTTCTAGTCAGGATGATGTCAGTCGCAGCAGACTTTGCCAAAAACCTGTCAATCACAAAGCGACTGCTGCACCAGCTACCTCTCCGCCACTGGCATCTGCTCCTCGAAGAAAAGTAATCTTTGAATTCGTTTTGAAGCAGCTTACTTTAGCGTTTGTTATCCATCAACAGCGGGGGAACAAAATACGTCTTGATGAAGTGAACTCGAGAGCATAATGACTGCTGACTAGCTGCCCATTGATCCCAGTAGAATAGTTGGTCTCTTGGCTCTTTGTGCTTTCTAAGTAAAGGCTTAAGAGTCAATTAAATGCACGGGGGCCTTAGAAACAGTATTATTAGTCGCAAACAGATGCAGGTAAAGCAACAACACTTCATCTAAGTACACTTAAAGACTGCAGTAATTAGGAGCAGAGGCCCGAGGAGGGTTTGTCGCTATTTAAGCTACCTATTTGTACTATAAACAAATCCCCTACAGGTACCTGACATTCATTTCTAAGGGGACTCGAGGGGTCCAAGGGGACGCAAAGTAGTAGCGATCACACTGCCAAGAGACCCGGCTCACACTGACGCACACGAACAAACATGTTGGCAAAGCATCGAAGATTCTCATCGGTTGAGAGCAGATCATATTTTTAAATGTTAACAACATGAAAAGTGGGCTCCACGCATCAAAAGGAAGAGGCATCTTTTTTTTTTCCCTCCCCGAAGAGTTTAATTCGTTTAGGAGGACGAGGTATTTCAGCGAGTGATTAAGCCCATCGTGGCCTAACGCCAAAACCTTTGTCCTCGCTGCTTTTTCCTCCCTCAATGAGCCGCGTTTGCACGAGACAACGCGCGTCGTTCCATTTGGGAGAAAAACCACATTATTTACCGCGTACCAACTTCCCATTTTTTTTCATTATGCACCTGTTGAGAGCATGAGTGACCTTGTTAACTCTAATGGAAACCTTTCATTCCAATTTGGGAGGTCAAGGTAGTGATTTTTTTTTCCAAACACATGTAAAAATCCAGCTGCAGAGTTGCGAGGCTTTGCAATCTAGTCGGCTTTTTATTTGTCTTTCACAGAGGTTTCAAATCCCAAACCTTGATACAGCTCCATCTATTCCATTAACACACATACACTAGATGGTGATTCCATATACATCCTGGAGTGCTTTTCATAACGGACTGGATAATCAATATCAGTATGTGAATCAAATAACATTATAAGACAACACTGCACTCGAGCAACATGAACTTTTTGTTTCTTATTAAAGTGCTGCGTGACTCAACAGATAAGCTGCAAGTTTGTCATTACAACACTGTAGCAGGATAGTTACTGTAGGATCTTGGTTCCATTTAAAGAAAAATCTAAAAGTCTAGATCAGGGGTGTGGAATCCTGGTCCTCAAGGGTCGTAATCCTGCATGTTTTAGATGTTTCTCTCTTCCAACACACCTGATTCAAATGATCAGGATCGTTATCAGGCTTCTGCAGAGCTTGATGATGAGCTGATCATTTGAATCAGGTGTGCTGGAAGAGGGAAACATCTAAAACATGCAGGATTGCGGCCCTCGAGGACCAGGATTGGACACCCCTGGTCTAGATAGTGTTTTTTTATATATACTAGAAGACAAACGAGTCACGTAAGCAGGCTTTCTGTATTGTTGTTATTGTTCAAATTCAGTTTTTGGTTTAAACGTGCAGCTGAATTACTCTGATAGTACAACTTGCCATTGTGTAACGCAGAATAGGTTGACAGTGTTTGAGTGAGCTGGTGTGCTCGAGCTGCCAGCAGGCTTCAAGCTGATAATCATCAAAACTTCTAAACATGTAACTTTGCTACATGTGAATGAGCATTTTTGGGGGGAGTTTAATCAACTGCTGGAGAGAAAACTTTAATTAGCTAATTTTGCTTTTAACAAATCTGCTAAAATGGCGCATTATGAGGAATTCATTCATGATCATTACGGTTTCTTTGCTTCCCATACCGGTGATCTAAATTCTGAATTCCACTCTGGCTGCGTCTTCTAAGCAAAACACAATGACGGAAAGAGATGTCAGTTTGCGAGCTCTCTGCCTGCTCAGTAAAAGGTGTGAGATGTAAATACTACAGTGCAATTTATTCTGCTGGATTTGCAAGTGGTTAACTCAGAGTGTATCGGGCTGCATATTAGAAAAATCAAAATATGTTGCAATATTTTTGTTTGTAATGTGTTCAATTAATCTTCTGAATTAACCTTCCTACAATGATCAGGGTTATTTTGTGCAGGAGTGCATCTGCAACAAAAATAATTTAAAAGCTATTTAGAACCTTTTCTCAAATGGTATAACACTGACAAAGGCGATCTATATACATTTAGATCTGTATTTGCATTCATCACACAGAGCTTTGTGTTGCTGATTTAAATGGTCAAACAAACGACATGACGATAAACTACCCCTAAGTACCTGTTTTTGCCGAACATCATCCTTTCTGTGTCTTTTTGCAAGCAAATCTTAATTTTCAGCGTTTTTTCTACTCTTTCACACTTGTTTTGCTGTTCACGCGTGGAGCCTGCATGTCAACATATCTTGTGTCTCAGAAACAAAGTTTGAACAAAACTCTATGTCTCAAAAAAACCCTTCAATCAGAGGAAATCCTATTTGATCACAGAGCTTCTATTGTAGGTTATTCATGGAAAAAGACAACTGTGTGAGTGTTTGCATTAACCAGTAAAGGAAGTTGTAGAAAGAGACATTTAAAGTCATTTGTCTAACTTCACATTGCAATTCCTGCAACGCAATTATTGTGCACAAAACAGTGTCGATGCTGAAATGACATATTGTGCCGTCCTAATCAAAGCTGAGGTGCAAATTAAGATATATTAGAATAGATGGGGATATTAACCTTTTCATTACCATTTCAGCATAATCAGTTTAAAGCCTCCGCGTTAAAAGCTCCCTTCTTTTCAATGCACCGCACCCAAACACCACGAAAAGAGGGATCAAGTTTGTACCATTCTTAGCAAAATACTAAAACCTATCAGTTCTGCAGAAAATTGTTGATTAGACTCAAATGTTGTACCTGGCTGTTCAAGAGACATTTATTAATGTCAGTGCAACTTCTGCAGCCAGTGTTACTCTTTGTTCAGTTTGTGTAAAACATCAACCCTCATTTTGAGATGCACAGAGAAGCTGAGCCCACCTTGTTGCCTCCGTCGTGCATGGCCCAGCCTGAGCGCTTCACCCCGAACGCGACCTGGGAGTCGGAGGCATCCAGGCAGGTAACAGGATGACCGTAGACTGAGTGGAGAGTCCGCGGCTTCTCCTCCCGGGGGTCCAACAGGTAAACCGTCTCCCCCGCCGCCAGAGCAGCCAGCGGCCACTGCTGCTCCCTGCCAGGTACCACAGCCACACTGTCTACCTGGCAGACGGGACAAAATGACGGCACAGTTTACCTGTACAGTAACTTCAACGAGGATTTAACTCCATGTTTAACACATTTGTAATATTTAACCTGAATTCAAAATGAACTGTGGTTTAAAAAGTAAAATGGTTTTGATGAAGTCATACTGAACAATTTACTATAATGATCACGATCAATTAATTGGACAGTATGTAAAAGATAAAAATGTATAATGTATAGTTTTCCGACTATATACATAGTATACAGCTAATTGATTATTTTTATTTTTTTTTTAAATTAAAAAAAAATACAAAATTCTCTTAGATCCTTTATTTATTTACCTATTTCCACATTTAGTTTATTTATTTAATATTACTGCTATTCTTATTATTTTTAACCTTGTGTTTGTGGCTCTATTTTATTTATTCATTTTTTTTTGTATTCCACTTGTTTGTTGTTTTTAAATCTGGTATTGTTGTATTGATTTATTTTGAAAATCTTTTTATGATGTTTTACCATAATTGTCCACTTTTGCCTCCCTGGTCTTTCTCCTTCTGTTTGCACTGACCGGCCTTTTGTTATTCAGCGGTCTTCCTGAGTATCCTTTTCTTTTTTGTAACCTCTGTTTTTACAAGGTGCTATACAAATAAAGTTATTAATATCATAAAATATGTCATGTTGCAGTTTGACTTCTTTACATTTTTTGTTTTGTGTGATCACGAGTCCCAAAACCCCACTGATATAAATCTGAGAAAAGCCGACAATCACAATCTATTAATTAACACGATAACACATCAGTATGAGGCATTTTTCATACGAATGAACTGCCTGACTCACGGCCTTGGGTAGATGAGCCTGGCAGGCCGTCCTCCAGTAGCCGCAGTCACTGGCACGGTCCAGCCGGACGTCCGATCCGGAGGCAGAGAGCAGGACGGGGCTGTCGGGGCTCAGGGCCAGAGCCTGGATCCTTCCCGGGCTCTGGTAGTGGTGGATGGGCTCCCCGCCCGTCTCTGTGCTCCACAGGTCGACACAACCTATACGCATACACAGAGCTTCATAGCTGCACTGACTTCAGTACGAGGATGTGCAGAAAATACTCCTAATCAGATAGGCAGCCTGATTTGACAGACTCAGAAACTTCAAAATATTGTAATTTTCTGAGGATTTAGTGCTGATTGTGAAGCTTTACTTTTACCAAGAGGTGGCCAAAGTTTACACACACACACTTACCGTCTTCATACGCAGCAGCAGCCAGCGCGCCGTTGACCTGGACGTGACTGACGTGTGGCCTCGGGTCCGTGTTCACAGACAGACTGTTGGCCTTCAGGTACGAGGCCGCCGAGTCCCAGTGCAGCGTGTCCCACAGCCTCACATCACCAGACGTGTACCTTCAGGGGAAACAGGGGAATATTTCGTTTCAAACAAAAAGTCTGACGAGTCCAGCAACAGAGCTGTAGCCCAGTTTTTCATCCCAGGCTGAGAAGTTTCTCTCTTCAAGAATACCTGACGTCACCCTCTCACCACTGAATCATTTCCCCTCTCACACTTTCCTCCTTTACTCACTCGGACTTGTTATTTTGTTTTCTAATATCTTTGTTACGTGATCTTTTCGAGGATTACATTGGTGTTGTTTGGGCGAAACAACACCAATGTTGTTTTCGCACGCAGCGTATCAATTACTTTTAATGTAATAAACCACGGAGCTCTTGAACGCTCATTATTATCATTGCTGAAAACAAATAATATCATCGATAGGAGCAGGTCTGTAAATGAGAATTACTGGTTAATCAGCTGGTCTGCATTCTGTAATCATATAATGAAGAAAATAAACAAATGATCATGTTTAAAAAGCTGTAACCAAAGCTCATTTTTGAGTCATTTTTGCATTCTGAATTACTTGAACAATTATTTTTCTGCATTTTTTTTCAACTATTTTTTATTTTTTTGCCTGCTTATTTAACAAATCATCACAAAATTCATCAACAACAAGTGACCAAGAGTTAAGTAATTGTTCAAACAAACAAGATATTTTCTCCGCTACGAGGACTTGCTGCTTTTCTCAGTTATACATCAATGTGAAACGACTATTTTGGGGTTTTGCATGGTTAGTTGGCAAAACAAGACGTGTGAAAGTGATGCTTTGGGCACCAGGAAACTGTGATGGGGTATTTTTTTAAAATTTTTATTCAACATTTAGAGGCAAAATGATTGAACTGGGAAAAGAATGACCCGATTTAACTGGGAAGAACTGTTAGCTGTCTTACACCTGAGATGAAGACAAAGCTGAAAACAACCCTTCTGCTGACCTTTCATTTAGTACAAGAAGAAACAAAAAGCATTCTTGTTTTATTTGCATGAGGCAAACCAGCAGGAACCTCCTACGACATCCATCACAGCATGCAGCGTAGAACCGCATCGTGCTAATGGATTATTGATCTTCAATTACAACATGCAGAACCTTAAAAGTTCCATTTTATCCAACAATGCTGCTTCAAACAGACAGCAAAGTGACTCTTTTTGTTGTTGCGCAGCCTCACCTCGTCTCATCCCTCAGCCCTGCCTTCATCAACAAAGTCAACCCCCTCACAAGCTTCTGTTCTGTTCTGCTCACAGCCCCCTTCCTCTGCTTCGCTTTTCCACCCAGAGTCAATGAGTTCGCACCGCGGGAGAGACGACAAACTGCCAGAGTTGCCACCTCCACAGATACCATCATGTCTGAGCAAGTATCCGCCTGTGTGTGTCACACAGTAACAGCAAGTTTGACAGAGGGTGTACATGTGTGCACCCGTCTGTGTGTGTGCGACTGGCTTTTCAAGGTTCTGGCAGGAAGGAAGCGACGGGAATACACACCAAACTCACCGCAACGCCACCCCTATCGACAGGAAGGTGACGCTGAAGCACGTCCAAGTGAATTCATCCAAACTTTTACGTGCAGGAAAGTTGGCGCGCAGATTAACTGCACATCCTCAGCAGATCTGGCCTTTATGTCACTGTGTGACTCCAAGAGTTGTCGTCGGCTTAATGACACCGTTGCCTTTTAAGTGCCAAATCTCATTGCACTGGTTTTTCTAATAAGATTTCACGGATGCAATTGAATCATTCTCGATCACTCTTAACTGCCATTGATTGTAGATAAACAAATCCGAGTACTTTCACTTAGCAGAATGACCCTTTAAATACCAATAATGGGGAAAGTATTGACACTGTGAGTTTGTTAATAGCAGTAGTACAAAAAGAAGGATTTAAGAGTACGTGCAAGGAGTTTTAACTCAAGCCAGACTGTTTTGGTTCTGCATGTCCCACATCTGCTGATATTAAGCGATGCAAACATGCCGCCTGCTCCGATGGGACTCTGTAGGACTGAGGGGAATCGGATCACATCACTCCCTGGGGACGCTGCACATCTCCCTGTGAGTCTATCAGATCTCTGTGGGCCCTCACAATCTATCACTGTCCCAGCCCGGCTATGTCAAGCCAGAGTTACTTCATTTAACATGCAATTCATGCACTCTTCCGACGCTGTCATTAGCAGCGAAAAATGTGCAAAAATGTCACAGTTTGAATGAGTGAACTGAAAACTGGACTGCAATATGAACAAAATTAACTATTAGGAGGTGGGAATCAAAGAGTAACCTAATTAAGTAAGGCTGGGAGATATAGCTGAAAAACTTATGACTATAAAATGTGTCATTTCAGTAAATATCGGCAGTTATTGATCCTTTTTATTTTTATTTTTAATAAACACCTGCATCGCGAACTTTAATTCCAATTAAACTACTTTGTTTTGTAATCAAAGTGCACAGGTGATGATCTTGATGTCGACACACGCAAATAAATAAATGTACTAAATAAACATAAATGGATGATCTCAGCTTGACACATGGCGAATAAAATTAACTTTGAAGCAAATTGAGTTCAATGAGAGCACTGACAAGATGTAACACATGAACGAAGGTAAAAACTTGACTGAACCTAAAAAATTAAAACGTTGCACAATGTTGACAGTGATTTGTAACCAGGCGGCTGCAGACTAGCAAGCCTCGGGAAACCTGCACAGAAGCCAACTGGGACAAAGATGGAGGTCAAAGGGGCTCCATGATCACCATATGAGCCAGGGAGGGAGCAAACTTTGCATTTTTGTTATGTGCCTTCATGCTGATTTGCATATGATGCATTTAAGGGAAACTATCAAATGTTCTTGATTCTAAATGAAGTGTCTTTCTTCGCCACATATTGCTGTCTTTTATTTTGCCCAGCCCTACTGTCTCCATTTATTACGCACGACAACAGTGGCATCACGATACAGAGATTCTACAAAACTCAATATATTGCAAGACAATCAATATGATGCCTCCCAACATCTGGGCAACTGAAGAAGAAAACATAAAAGCAGGAGTTATGTATTTATTGTGATGTCAGTGTGCGTGTATATTTATCATTATTCGTCAATCCTAATGAATTTAATTAATTAATTCTCTGATTTGTTTCCCCTGCTGTCTGTGTGGTTTTCTTCTTCAAAGTTTCTTTACTACAGGCTAGTTAACCTAGTTCAGTTCACCCTTATTCATTTGAGAAGTGCCATTGCAAGTAGTCATGACTCTGCTAAGTCAAATCGGTCGGGGGAATCCATCCAGAGTGCCTATTAGCTTAACATAATATCAGTGTTTGTGCGCCAGTGTAGTGAGGTCACAGTTTCCATTTTTAACATAATATGTAAACAATACTGGCCCTAAAAATCCACCACCAGTCAGACTCAAACTTGGCTTGGAAATGCTTCTTGCATATAAAATTTGTCCATGTTTCCCTCTACAAATCAAAGATCACATGATTTGTAAACATTCAGAAGTGTTACTCCAACACTATTTACCAAAAGCTCCCCTTACATTTGTCATTCTTCAGGTTCCTTACTAGAAAATAAAAATCCACTTTCCTAAAACATCTAAAAAAAATTATGTTGGTGCCACATTTTTCTTGCTAGCCACATTGTTTCTCATGTTATTTACCTAATTATTTTTTTTTTTCCCCCCTAAAACATCCCACATCTGCACCTGTGAGAAACTCCAGATGCATAATTCCTAAGAAGGATCAACCCCACTGTAAAAGCCTGGCTGTCAATCACTGTGGAATTGGTTCCGTCAGCGGTGAACGCCCAGTAATAAATCTAAAAATTTATATCCACGATTTATCTTCCGGCGAGACTTATATGAGAAAATAAATATAGACCGAGAAATTAACTGAGAGAATATGAGCAGCCAAAGTCACAGTTGACATTCATACACATCGGATGTCAGAAGTGACCTGCAGTCGTCCTTGAAACTCACCCGGCCAAGACGAAGTTGTCGCAGGAGCTGACGTCACACAGCACCTTCCCCAACTCGAACTGCAGCTGGCTGATGGATCCCACTCGGTTCTGCATGAAAAACGCTGTTTAGCTGAAAACTTTGTCCAACATATTAGTGACATGAGGTTAATATTTGCAAATCTAACCCTGGCTTAGCTATTTATTATAGGTCGGCTTTAAAAATTAACATCTTTCTTGTTTTTCTTAATAAATAGAGAAAGAATTCCCATCTTTGCCTGCCATTGTGTAAAAAAATCCCATTTTTATTGCTGTTGTACAATATTAAATTAGAGTTACAACCACAGATGAGAGACATCTTGATCTCTTGTAAACTCACGCTGATGTCTAGCGATGTAAATTGAACACCAGACAAACCCTTGGACAGATATGTGTCTTCTGAGACATCAACAGTTCAAGCCCACCTTCCAGTTGGAGCTCACGGTCTTGGCTGAATTCCTGCAGTCTCGCAGCGTGCTCTTCCAGCAGGGGGAGTCGGACACGCTGGCGTCCTGATGGTAGCCCTCCCCGGTGCACATCTTGAACCACAGAACGCTGTCCTCGGCGAGGACTCTCCATGCCCTGCTCACCTGGGAGGAGATTGGACAGCGTGAACGAAGGATTGAGTCAGCATACATTAAGAGACTGCATCACTTATTTGTGCTTAACGAGCCCGGCTGTCTGCCAAATGGACTCCACGAGCTGCTGCAAGAAACGTAATTTACTAATCTGGACCAAATTAAGTCACGTAAGACTTTAAAGCAGCCTGCAGCAATTCAGCACTTTAAGGGGAGAAGCGTAATGTATCTGCAATGTCAGGACTTCACCAAAATCAATGAGTCTTACACAGTGTGATTTCTTTAAATACGAGTCATTTTTTTCATTGCTCGGTTGCAACTTTGCTCCTCTTTGAGACAGTTTAATACGTCGTTTTATCTGAAGACTAAGATTTCTTGTCTTTGCTCGAGCCTCCAGATCGTTAAGCGTCCACTGACCACGCTGAAACAATACTGACATTAGCTAACAGTCTGAAGTCGTGGCTCAGCTTGTGAAAAATGTGTATAATCAAGTAGTAAATAGTTGCATCTTCTCCCCACTGGTTGTACATGTAAGTGAGATACGAATAGGAAGGATTTTTTCTTCTTAGTGTTGCATTTGAATAATTTTAAAGGCCTTTTATCTAAATCATATAGTCATTGTATTTTTGTTGTTGTTGTTTTTTAAAGGGATCCCTCACACATCTCTACTTAGAAGCAGTCCACAACAAATAAACAATTTCCTTATGTTTAGTGCATCGACATGCGGGTTCCACGTGTGCACAGCGAAATGAGCAAGGAACAGGAGAGCAACACTTAAAAGGAAGATTTGATTGCAAAAGCAAACAAACAAACAAAAAGCATCAATTGCATGGACATATTTCACCTGCAGTCAGTGTTTTCTAGTCGTTGCCCCTCAATGAGGCAACACAACTAACTTGTCAGAAGAATTAAATCAGCGACACAAAGCTCGACCACGAGTGCAAAGCTATGGAGTTACTATCTTTAATCAAGTGCACGGTCTTTCAGTTTGATAGGATTATTTGTTCATATAACTCTCAGATTTTGTAATGAAATCCATCATCATCAGGTGCAAATCATTTTGGTAGAAAGTTGAAAAGCAATAAGACATAAACTCAGGTACAATATTGCAAATAAAATAAGGAAGCTAAAACAGAACTAGTATGGAAAAGTAAAAAGTAATGCTGGCAATGACACCAAGGTAATAAGTGATGTGACATGATAATAAAATATTGCACACGAAAAATTAAATACTACAATTATTCTTGTATTCTCAATGCAGATGCACTACAATGTCCCCTTAATCATTCTAGCACCAGTAACATTTTCCAAATCCAGTTATTCCAAGTCTCCTGTATAAGTGTTTGTTTTTACATATTGCAGAAAAACTAAGTATTGTAATGTTTTTTTTTCCCACTATCATACAGTCTTGGTCCTCAACAAATCAAAAAAAAATCCTCACGTTTGAGTATTATGACTACAATTTGCAAGTTTTTAACGAAGCTATTAAGTCTTTTTTTAATTAAAGTATAAACTAAGGATCTGTCTTTAAAGCCTGAGTGCTACAGAAAGCACTGAGATGGTAAAAAGCGTTACAGACTTTGATTTTGTCATGAGATTTGTTGACAACAAGACAAAAATATGTTGCCATCCTTATGTTTTATTCATCCGGTGGCCTCTCTGGTTCATTTTGGAGCCCATTTGGAGAGATGAAACCTAATATTTTACGCGTATACAAGTTAATTTCTGTGCAGCAGAGTGTCATTACGTATAAAGCTCACCTGGGCACACCGGCCTAGTTCAGTGCAGTTGAGGTATTGGAAAATCTTCAAGGCCAACTCGTAAGGCAACTCGATGTCAAAGAAGGGAATGTCATTGACTTCATTCTGCAAACCAAAGAATTACAACAGACATTACATACAGACTTATTCCTGCGATGACCTATATTTCCATCCTTCTCCTCGTACCAGATCCTGAATGAGTTGATCCACCAGCTCTTCTTTCTTCACTTTCCTCTGAGGCCGCTGCTGCTGCTGCAGAGATGCACTGCAGACATCTGTCATGCTCTGATAATGTCTCTTTCTCCTGGTTCTCTCCTCCTGAATCCTGTCCAGCAGAGGACTGGTCCTACCGTCCAGCAAACCGCGTGCAATGGACACATACTGAGGCTGATCCTCGTCGGTCTGTGCTGCTGCAGCTTGTCCTGCTCCTCCACCAACACACGCTTCATCCTCAGCGCAAACACCTTCTTCTGAAATGGAAGAACTACAGGCCTTGTTGTTTCTTTTCAAGTTTTTTCTTCCTGACTGACCAGGAAGATCCCAAGATGAGGCAGAATCACCAACAAGTGGCGGCTTGTCTTCTTTTTTACACGTTAACTCTTTTTTCCAACGCTCCCTGAACGCAGCAAGCTCGTTTTCTGCCATGTTTTTCTTTCATAGTTGACAAAATATGACCTCGAAATGTTAAAAAGCGACATAAACTACATATTGTGAACAGCAGCGAAAAGCCTCTCTCGGTGCCGAAGCAAAACAAGCACGCGTCCCTCTCTATAAACAGTCCGACTGGGGACGCAGAGCAGTTGTACGTTAGTTCCGCGCGATTATAATTCCGCAGTTTTATTATAGAGGCGTCTGTTCTTCAAGGATGATTTATGTTTATGTGGCCATAGTTGGCAATTATTCTGTAAATAAACACAAATACTGTATGCGTGCAGGGTGATTATGTTTGAAATTAATATTGGATGCACGTTTTACACTTAATACATAAAAAAAGAAAACACAATATCCGAGAAGCCGCCAGAACAAAAGACTCAAGAGTTAACCATTGCATCTCTCTTTTGGGAAAAGATGATGTAAACCCCGCACCATGTGACACTGTGATGAATAATACAGTAGAGAGGTGGGGAGAGAAAAAGAGGGGGGACGCAAACACAGTTAAGGTTTGACGAGAGAAGAGAAGGAGGGTCACACGTCCTTAAAGACTTCAAGTGAGAACTACTTGGTTGTTTGTTTTTTTTTGCCGGAGAAAATGTGCTGGCTGCCCGCGGACCAGCCGCTGCTGCTGCCGGGTGACTCCTGCGGCTCCCGGAGACCCTCGCCGTGCTCCGTGGCTCAGCTGCTGGCGTCGCGGCTGCGGAGGATCGGAGACCAGCTGGAGAAGAGCTGGGCGGGAGCAGAGACGCCGGAGGTCGGCTACAGCTGCGGGGACAGACCGGCGGCGGCAGCGGCGGCGGTGACGGACAGAGGCCGAATGAAGGGCTTCCTGCGCATCGCGGTGCACTTCACGGTGCTCGTGCTGTTCGTGGCGAGGCGACACCTGTAGGGCGCGAGACCGCGACACCAGCAACAGGTGAGTCAACAGTCACCTGCGCGAGACTCCCGCCATTATGAGGAAGAGGAAGCTTCGGTATGAAAAAAACTCATTTGTTTTTACTTAAAGTCTTAATTTATGTGAAAAGGTGAGTTTAAAATATCTGTCTGTGTGAAGTTTATTTAACCTACATGCGTGTAGACAGAAGGCTGAGCTTTTAGCTGGACTTTTTTTTTTTTAATTTAAGAAAATGACATCTTCTTCAAGCTACACAAGTGTAAACAGTAAGCTAACGTGCTAGCTTCAGGTTTTTTTTTCCTCATTTTCTTTAATGAAAACTTTACCTTCTTCTAGTTTTCTTGCTGTTTCAGATTTGGGAGACTTTATGTAAAGATGCAAAGTTTTGAAATATGCAGCTGTGGAACAAAACACCGCATAAACTAAATTATATATTATGTCAGCGACAAGTGCTGTTTATATTGACATATTTAACAAGCTATATTTGGCATAGAAAATTAAAGTCCCTTTGTTTTGTGCAATTATCAGTAAGTTAAACCGACATAACATTTACGACCTCTCTTGAAGTTATTGCCAGACAAAGCACACATGAATCAGGTTGTTAGCAATGTACTCAGAAATCCTACATTTTGTATTTATTTTAATATAGTTTTGAACCATTATTTTGGCCAGTTTTCTATATATTAAATAAAACTATTGATTTTTGTGTGTGTGTTTTTTGTTTTTTTTTTTTAAACAAAAGGATAAAGGCATCTTAATTAAAATTGAAATTAGGACAAAATTCACAATTGCACAATAACTGCATGCGGATAACAAAACAAACAAACAAACAAAAAAAAGACACCAAGGCATTTGTTTACACTTTTTTGAGTCAGGTGGTGCTTACTAGAAATGCACAGCAGAGGAAATTCAATGCATATTTCTTAAATGTGTGCTTAAAATCAATAAGGTGCATGTATGTGTCTCATTCTAGATGGTGCCTTTAGGGGGGAAAAGCAGCGGGCTCACATCATTTGCGCGCAAAAGCGAGAGGGATGCAGCCGAAGGATGCGGTCCCGCAGGAAAGGTGTGCGTTTTAAACAAAAAAAATCTAAAATAAAAGGAGGAGGAGGAGCAGGAGGAGGACGGGGAAGCGGGATTAAATTCGGCACCGTGTGTCTGGATAAGAGAAACGCAGGCCGCGATGTGGACGCAGTTTCATAACGAGCTGACACAATTAACCCCAGCTGCCCTCCGCCAACCAGCCAGCCAGCCAGTCAGCTGCAGTCCTGCGCCCTTACGTGACTCCGATTCTGTCATCCCATTTCCACTGCGGTGATGTAATCCTCCCCTGGTAGAGTGGAGGGAAAAGCTTACCAACGGTGCGCCTTTGAATTTTCACCTCCCACGATGTGAGCGCATCAACAACAACGGGGTTAAACGGATTCTGTATCCAGGCTACAATTAGTGCAGCAATCCTTAGCAATGCACTGGAATACACCTGTTTTTAAGCTTCATAATGCACTGTACTTTGTTTTTTTTGTTTTTTTTTTTACATATAAGCTATACTGTAAGTGTAAATAATACTATTGAGGATGAATGTTTTTATAGGTGTTTTCTACAGTGTTTATTAGATTATTCATCCTTATGTGCTTTATCTGTTGGGGGCAGTGTTAAATGGCTTTTTAAAAAATGAAAAGAAAAATGACAATGCAGGACCTGTGCATAGGAACCCTATCCTGTTACGCTGTCTGTGATTTTTAAAATACAAAAAATGAAGCTGATATATTAACTGTAATGTGAGCAGGATTGCTGTCTTTTATAAAATGTGTGGTCCTTTATACTTCTAAAATATTTCATATGGATTTTTAGTAGTCATGAGAATAAAAGCTTTTACTGAAACACATTTCTTTGCAAGTGTGGTTGTATTCAGACAAGATATATGCACGATAAAGTGAGCTTAAGTGCTTTAATTTAAAAAAAAAAAAAAAACCCAGCACAGCACATTCTGCGTGACAGTCATAGAGTCTATTAAGCAACCCCAGAATAAATTATTCGACATGAAATGATCCAGTAACAATAAAAGTGGAATTAAATTTGCAGCATGGGAGATGATCAGACGTGAGCGTCCTCTTTCAGTGTGAGGGAAGTCTTTAATTCCACCACGCTTACTGCATCACAGAAATCTACAAAGTGTTTTGATTACGCTGCCTTCCTACGCCATCAACACACATCACTGTTCATAGTAACCAAAAGTCACACAGCACCGCTCATTCTTCACTTAATATCTACACAAGTGGCCTTTAAAAAACAAAAACTGTTTCTACCTACAGAGAGTACAAACGCTTAAGGATATTTTGTTTTACTTAATATTTAAATAAAAATATTACGTTAAATATCCATGGTAGACTAATATAATGAACAAAAATCATACAAATACCACAAATAAAGTGTGAATGCTGTGACTTTTTACATCGTCCTTGCAGTGATTCAGTTATTTTATCAGTGTGAAACAGTGGATAAGTCTACAAAATGGAACTGTACGGCAAGAAGTTTTGGTTCTTTTAAGTGACACCATGTTGATAATTTGGTTTGTGCATGTGGCCCCTACCAGCAGCTTCATATAAAAACACTGTGATTCACATAGGCTTCGTTCTGGCCCCTTTTCAAACGCCTCGTGTATTTCTGTAATTATGCTTACCCTGATTTTAAGAATTGCCACACTAACTTTTTACAGAAAGAAAAAAAAAAGAAAAAAAGGTGACACATCATTGTCTATCTTGCATCGCAGCACGACAACATGTTCCTGATTGGCCGCCAGAGCTCAGTAGATCTGGAAGTGAGCGGAGGTGGTCCCGTCCTTCCAGCATCGCAGGGTCTCGATGACGGTGGAGCGGCACAGCGGACACGTTCGCTCGCGGTCGAACCACAGGCACAGGCATTCCTCGCAGAACACGTGCTGCACGAGAACAGAAAAACGTTTCACAAAATGCAAAACGTACATCTCTATGAAATCAATCAGACTTTAGTTATACATCATACAAGTAAAATGAAAGAAATCAAACTGCAATAAAACAATACAAACAAACCCTCTGCCCCAAACATCATGTTATAAACACAAGGATTATGGAAATGAGGAAACGCTATCATATATATAGTGCATATAATGAAGAAACACAATAAAATATAACATCTGTAAATGAAATTAGATAAAAATCTGTGTAAAACAACTGTTACATTTGGTGCTAAATATGTCGGAGCAGATGAGGAAATGCTGTTCTGTATTTACTGTGAATGGGTCTCACATTAATGTGTTGATTGTCAGTGTTACCTACATACGGTAGGAACCTTTCTGTCTTGGTAGGGTTTCCAACCGGAAGAGGACGAACCAGTTTTTGACCGCTGAGCAGCATGCTGAACGTTACCGTATGTATGAATGTTAATTGGGAAATATGCACTTTAAGAAGATTTGGATATCAAACAAAGAAACTGTGTGCATCAAGCAGTAGGAGTTTGACTTTAGTTCATCAGACACAGGTAGTTAAGCTTTCCTATAGTGGCTTAAAGCATTGGTGTAGCCTCGACAAAATATATGAAGTTTCTTTACAGCTTTCACTGTTTTTTGTTGCTTGTTGTTTAGGGACACTCAATGATTACAAAATCAATCTAAAAAGTGTGGTTAAAGGTTAAATGCTGCATTCAATGACAACTGGGAATTGTAAAATTCAATCTCCGACACAGAAAAAACCTTTAAAGGCTCACGCAAGCACTACCTTTTTATAGTCATGCTTTTGATTAATTTGCTTTAGTTTATTAATGTATTCCCCCTTTAGAACCAACTTTATTTATTGGTTTTTCTATTTATACTATTTTGTTTGTAGTGTTTTATTGCATTCAAGTTTTTTTGTGTTACATGAAAAAAGTGCTATCTAAATCAATTCTGATTGGCTGATTAAATAAAACATGGATTTTCTTCTTGTTAACTCAGGTAAGGTGTCTTTACCACATTTTACATCAGCCCGCACTGCAACATCTGCATAACTTAATGAGTTTTACGTATAAAACATTAGACAATTTACATTTTGCACCTTTTTCGTGCTTCTGTTTCTCGGTATAAGTGAACTTCACATCTGTTGCTGAGTATTTGGTGATCATAGAAAAGCAAAACAACAACAACAAAAAAAACCCTTAAGGTAGTTGTGTTTTTTTTTTGTCACACCCTGTGCTCTCAACACTCAAAATGACACAATTTCAAGGCGTGACTTCCTACTTTCGAGGTACACTGAACGCAGCACACATCCGGCCACATGCAACCACATCCATTAGTCATGCAGGCTATAGTTAGAAGGACTCTCAGCCAGTAGGGGCAGTAAACCACTGCTGTTCAGCCGAGTTAGTCTTGAAGTTACTTCCAACTCGTCTACGTTTTCTCCTCTTCTTCTTACTAGTTTACCGAGGTCTCACCTGACAGAGAAGGGCGATGGGGTCTCTGAAATCAGCCTGACAAATGGCACAGACGTCGCCCGCCTCGCTGCACTGCTGACTGCCGGCCCTCACGCCGTAACTCTGGATGCGACAAAAAGAAAGAGTGACACGTCAAGAACTGAATTCTATCCATCTAGAGTCATTAGAAGCTCTCGAAAAAAGAAAAAAAAAAAGTAAAATCGCCTGAATCTGACCTGGGAGCTGCAGAGCATGACCAAGGCCTTCCGTATGGCAGACACACGTCCACAGATGTCAAAGGACTGCAAAACAATGAAGACAAAAAACAAGTTCTTATGAAAATGATAACTACTTTTGCCCACAAACGTCCTGTTTGATCTATTACAAAACATTTGTTAACCACTCTAGCGGCTCTGTGAGGTTGTGTTGAGGCAAAGTGCTGCTTTGAGCAAAACGTTACCATCAGTATGCAAAAAGTACAGCTGAGGCTGAAGGGATTTATTTTAAAAGCAATCACAAACTGCTAGATTCTTTGTTAGGTTTTTACCGCTTGCTCAATTTTTGGGATTTCTTATGGTAATAGTTCCAGATAACTTAATAAATCCAACCGTGCTTATAAACCTCAAGCAATTTCGAGTTTTTTTTTTGGTTTGTTTGTTTTTGTTGCTCCTGTCACATTTTTTTTTACTCACTGTGGGCTCATTTCCCACTGCAATATAAAGTCTTGCACCTATATGGAAACAGCACAACCATGACTAGAAGGAGAGAGAACTCAGAAATATGAGACTGGAATAACATCAGAAATCGCGAAAAAGAACAAAAAAAATTGAATTTCTTTGACTATTTATTTTGCAAAAATTGAAAAAAACTTGGAATCAACATGACACCACATTTTTGTCAAGTGCCCACAAGTGTTACCAGTAAGGTGATAAAAATCGTGGCTCTACATACGACAGATATTTTCCTACGCACGTTCATATTTTGTTTCCATGCGTGTGTAAACGCAGCCTGCGCTTCAGCCCAGTTCAGCTAAATAGTGTCTAAGTTTCCGCTTGTGACTGACTGACACAGAGTCATTTATGACATCTCAGTTACGCCACATTACACTGATTTTTTTATTTCTTACAGAATCTGGAAACGGTTTGTTTTTGTTTAATTTTTAATTAAGACATGTAGAATAAAGTGATTGTAATGAAATATTATGATTTTTAGAATTGGACTTGGGAAGCTTTTCCAACAGAACTTCACATCACTTATCATTGATCCATTGAAATTTTTTTTAGTTTTTACAGTTTTTGTTGTTGTTTTTTCATTTAATAAACGGTGTGATTTTAGTGATTTAAAAAAACAACAACAAAAAAACAAACCCACTCGCAGCTTTTAGGTTTCAGGAGGTCAAAACCAGACTTGTAACCTGAGAACTTCCCCCAACTACTGCCTCCGGCCAGCTTTTGTTTCCCTGAACTTCATGTAACTGCATGACACAACGGCACAACGACAGTGACTCAAATGCGGGTGCACATCGTCGCACGCCAATCCTGAAACGCCGTGTACATATGGCCTGATTTTGGAAAACACCCGAGCGCTGCACCTCTGCACACACGTATCCAGGAAAAAATGTGCACGCAATTCTGCTGAACAAACCCGTCATCATCGAGAACTACAACCGCTGAATCACTGGGATATTAAAAGAAGTCTGGGCTATAAATGCAAACACACATTACCGAATTCATGACAACAACTTTGCATCATCCACAGACTGGTTCATTCAGAAATTCCACTTAGTTTCACTATTTCAACTTCCCATTTCACATGTGACAAATACAAAATGTGTTTTTCACAAGTCTTTCTATGTTCCTTTTTCCTGAAAAGACTTTGCTGTGACCTCTGACCGTAGTTTGAAGCACAAAAACAATATTGATACTTGCCGAATATCCCTCTGAATCTCAAGACGTTTCTGAGCATCGACTGCTCCTGTCACGTTCTTTACTCACCGTGGGCTCATTTTTCACAGCAATATAAAGTCCTGCACCAACAAAGTTATGTTGTCATAAATTAATAATAACAATAAGAATAATTTTAAAAAGAAAGACTTCTGAATGTATATTTTGAGTCTGTTTTTTTTTTTTTTTACAAAATTGGAAAAGTGCCCACAGGTGTTTCCAATATTGTAAAAATTAAATTAAATTAAAAAAATGGAGACGCTGCTTAAGATAGATATTCTACTAGATTATTAATCTGTTTCCAATTTTCGCTTCTATCAGCTGAGGGTAAACACAGCCTGCAGTTTAGTACGGTCCAGCTGACTCTTCTGAATTTTTGTCAGGTGACAGTTTATCACAGCTCAGTCAGTCATGGCTTTTCAGTTGTGTCAAGTTGTGCAGAATTTTTGTTTTTTTGCAGAATCTGGTTACTGCAAGTGTTTATTTTTTGCTTGTCGAAAAAGGACATTTTAATGAAATATCACGATTATAGGCTCAGATTTGGTTGATTACTTCAAGGACTGTCGGAAAGTTGACAACCCAGTGACATTTCCCGTTTTCATGGCTTAATTTTGGGGCGATGTAAGATAACGAGCTTCTCAAATCCGCCAACAGGTTTTGCGGTTAAGAGGAATGTTTTTGCTCCCAGGTACAGATTACCTTGCAGAGGCTGTAGATGATGATGAGCGTGGCTCCCAGGAAGTAGCTGTTGGAGGGGTCTTCTCCCATGATGTACTTGTACCACAGCTGGATGGGCACCAGGGCCCGAAACAGCTGGCTCAGCTCCTCGATCAGCAGGTAGAACTTACCCTGGACACAAACAAGGCTGAAAATTAGACACCACAACAGCAGCCATACTTCGATCAAACTTCAGTGTGCAGGTGGCAGCAGCCGTGTGAATGTGCGAATACGAGGGTTTCTGCAAAAGAAACAAAACAAAGCAACCAAAGTTTTCAACTGTATGAAAACAAACCGAGACAATGTGATTCCTGTCTTTGATCCACACGAGCAGAAAGAGCTCAGCAGCTTCGGGGCACTCTTCTATCTAGTCAAGAGCAGTGTGGTATTAAAAGCTTAAAACAGCATGCCTCCAGCCCAAACATGGCCGCCGTCCAGATCTCAGCAGTTTCACAGCAGTACAGGCAATTTCCCCACACTGCAAGGGAAACTGGCAGCGGCTCTTTCCACCTGCTACCCAGTGCCCACATTAAGCCCGGCCCTATGGGGAGCTCGCTCGCCGCCTTTAAAGGACCTCCCCCTCTGTAATCACAGAGAAGAAACGCACTTCTGTCCCCGCCGCAAAGTGCGTCCACCGAATTGGAGACGGTTTAAAAAAAACAGGGGCGCCCGAAAATGAAGGCGAACTTGATTCCCCGACGGCCCCCGTGGCATCCCAGCTCGCATAATGACTTCCTGGATGGCGTGTGACAAAGATTGATGACTGTGGGTAAAGAGGCACGAGCAGCCAGGTTGGTAGGGGAGAAGGACCTCGGCTAACTGCTAATTCATCTTCCTTATTGTCCCCTCAGCCTCGCATCCCACAGTGCCCATCACGCCCACGCAGAAACTGTCAAATCTAAAGTTTGGACACAAGCCAGTCACTCCGAGGAGGCTGCACTGCAGGCTCTGCTTTAGTACTTTTCTGCATATTTATTACTTTACATTTCAAACCACAAGCCTGCTGTTATTGAAATTCGCTTGACGGGTAAGTGTGCGGGGTGATGTATTTGATTTGAAATCGTCGAGGCCACAGTTTGTATCTGCTTCATTACCCAGGAATGATTAGTAGACCAAAGCGTGGGGTCTTTTTCTTTCTTCTATGGATTTTCTTTTAAAGATTTGTTGCAAGCACGGCTCATCGCAACACGCAGGAGGCCTCACAAGCACAATAAATACATTTCAGCAAAGCACGTATGTTTTCCACACTGCTATTGTTCATCCATGTTTGCTGGGTGGCACATTTCATAATTGCCAAGAGAAAGGTTGTGAATTGTGTCCCTTATTTTGCCTTTTATCCATCCAGCATCAACATCAACTGCTATTTATGAAGTTGGCTTGAAAGGATAACAATTTGATAAAGTGCAAATGTATTAGACCACCTGTATAACTTGTTAAGCACCGTATAGACACAGCTGAAACCAGAAGTCTGCATTTAAAAAGACACAAAACCTTTTTGTTTTTCCACTGTCTGACATTAAATGTGACTCAACTTTTGCTGTTACTGGACTACCAAAATTATATTTGCTAAATGCCAAAATAATGAGAGAGAGAATTAGAGAATTATTTACTACTTTTGTCAAAGTCAAAAGTTTACATACACTCAGATCACTATGCCTTCAGAGTATTTGGGAAAGGCTAGATGATGATGATGTCATGGCTTCGGAAGCTTTTGATAGGTTGATTGACAACATTTGAGTTAATTGGAGGAACACTTGTGGATGTATTTTGAGCTGCCTCACTGGACTTCTCTGAGCACCGTCATTTTCAGACTATTGAGCGCACCTGAATATAAGCCGCACCCACTAACTTTGAAAAGAAAAAAAAAAAGTACATTTATAGACCACACTTGTCTACATGCTGCTTGTGTCCACGTTGTAACATGAGATATTTACACAGAAAGATTTTTTTAACTTTTAATTATCGGTAATATACACAAATACCGTAAATGCTTTTTTCTGAACACTGCCTGTAACACAGTTAAAACATATTTAAAAATACAGCAGCCTACCAGAAAATGTCATTGATCGCTATCTTCATCTTCCTCCTGCACTAAAACACTAAAGTCGTCTTCTTCAGTGTCGGAATTGAACAGCCTCAGAATGACTTCGCCTTTCGTTGTCACTTTCGTCTTAAGGCAAATTCGTAAAAATCTGCAAATTAGCCGCATCATTGTTTAAGCCGCAGTGCTCAAAGCGTGTGAAAAAAGTCTTATAGTCCGAAATTGACTGAAGTCTGAAATGAATCAAGCACAACATTCAACACTAAAACCAATTTTCCTGTTCAGGAATGCAAGTAAATAATTTAACATCTTAATCAAGAAATAATAATGTGCTTTACTATTTTTCAGTTTTTTTGTAAAAAAGTAAATCTGAAAATTCACAATAACAATAATAACTATATTCTAGCGTTAAAAATATCATTTTGGTTAAAGAGCTTCTGGTTTATTAACCATTACCGAAACATTTTTTTAAAAAAAGTTAATTTAGGACGACTGTGGCGTAAACCTTAAACTGGGTGGTGGTCTAATACATTTCTTAAGCACTGTATATTTATCTGATATGATCTAACAGAGACTGAATGAGTCAAGTATTGTCTGTGTCCAAACCCTGATCGTCTTGTTGTCCAAAAACTTACTGAGTCATACACTGGGTGTTTCTTCATTATGAAAACTATTGGCAATGTAGTTTATATCTTTTAGTCATGAAATATAGCAGCAGCAGGCAAATATGTGGAAAAGGCAGGCTAGATTATCTGAAGTCTGAACACAGAGCCAAGTGCAGAAGTCTAGTTTTCTCTCATATCAATGGGATTAAAAAATTCTGAAAGGTTAGTGTAGAGTTCTGTCCACTGACATAGCTCCTAAAATACTGCCTACTCCAGCTTTAATTGAATTTACCCACTCCCCCCCAAAAAACACACACATTAACTAGTTACGCAAAGTATACCATCCTCTCTTCGCAGTACATGTAGTATATTTTTGTTGTGAACAGAAAATAGGATGTTTAAAAGCTTGTGAAGGCCTCTGCCACAAGTCCATGACACTTTCTAAAAATCTAAATTTCAAAAAATTCAATCAGCTGTAAAAAAAAAAAGATTAATGCTTGTATTGCTCCTTCACTCATGCTCATATTTGAATAATTTACAGAAAGTCTTTGAATAAATCTTGTTCGAGGCCAAAAGAACAGACACAATTAAAGCAAAATATTCATTTCCAATCCATTTTTAGCAAAAGCCAACGTAGGAACTTTTGCAAAACAATGACGATACTTGAACGTCGAGGCAACACACAATTAACGTGCAGCGATACGAGTCTGGGAGCTTTAAACAACGTCGTCATGGAACTTCTGAACACGCGCCCGCTGTTACTTGTGCAGACTCGCACCGACGGCGGCGATTATGTCGGATCATTAGTGTATCCGCGACTGGATGCAGTAATGAACTGGAAAAGGCTGATTGTGTGACTTTGTGGGGTTCGGGGCTGTTTGGTCTCTACGAAACCGGATGAAAAATGATGATGATACAATCTAAGATTCCCCAGAACTCAACATGTGTCCCATCAGAGCTGTCAAATCTGGCCCATCTGTGTGTGTGTGTGTGTGTTTGTGGAGGATACAGGTAATGGTCCGGCTCCAGGGAGGGATGACCTCACCCCTGCAACCCCCTCGAGGCCGAATGAGCTCAGTTGCTGGCTGCTGTGGTTCTGATAGGCCTCCAGGTTTGTTTATCAGTGGAAAATTTAATCCTAATACTTTGTAACCCCCTCCTCCTCCTCCTCCTCGTCCTCCTCCTCCGCCGCCTCCCGTCCAACACACAAACACACACCAGGAATAGCTGCACCTGTATGGAAATCAAAGTCTATCTGTGTGTGTGTGTGTGTGTTTGCAGTCATATTCTGTTGCCTCAGGCCAGAAAAAACTCGCAAGCAGACACCCACACGCACAAGGCTCACCTAAGGAGTCCCATTTAAAACCTTATGAATACAAAACAGTTTCACACTGTGACCCTTTAGCACTTTCTTCACTCAGAGGAGCATTTCATCATAGTTTAGCAAATTCTCCAAATCATGAACTAAGTTTGAAACTTTAAGGGGGAGCCTTCTGTCGCCCAATCACAGTCCGTCTGGTGATGGATAATGAAGAATTTTACAGTTTGAAGAAAAATATACTCAGCTTAGATGGCCTTTAAGTGGACCACACTTCCTTTTTTCCTCTCTCTCTAAAGTATTGTATTTTAAAGGACAAATCCACCTCTTTTTGCTCTTTCAGCGGTGCAGCTTTTATTGTGAAGCAGCCAGTAAGAGGGCACGATTTAGTCCATGTGCACTAATCAAACGAACAAAAGCACGGCATAAACTGGCCACACAGAAAAACTGAAAGCATGTATTGTAGTTCGGAGTTGCCCAAGTAGATCATCTTTGTTCTTACCACAGCGGTATGGGATCATTTCTGGCTCAAGCCTTTTTGCTGCATGATATCCTCCATCTCACCTCTTTCGTGTCCCTCTTTAGCTACTAATACAGGCAAAAAAAAGCCCAAAATAATCATCTTAAAACACGTATTGCAGACTGGGTAAAGACTGGATGTTTCCATCTTTTTCTCCTATCTGCTCCATGTAAACACAGCCTGCAGTTCAGTCCAGTTTAGTCTGTTTTTGGTTCACAGGTGCACAAGAAGCACCGACTGTATTGTCTTCTACAGGGTTTGTTTTGGGCAAATATTTAAATAAGACCTGTAGAATAAAATGATGAAATATCGTAATTTCAAGCTTAGATTTGGTTAAGTTTTTTGGCTGAGATGACATGCCACTGATTGATGATTAGTGCCATTGCTCTTGTTTTTGTTTGTTTTGTTTTTTACAGATTACGTGCCTTTCAAATTCACCAGCAGGTTTTGGGATTCAGAGGATTAATAAAAGTCTTTGTTTTCTGTGGATTAACTAAAGGTAACGAAAATGAATCTGGATTTCTTACCCTGGATTTGAAGGCCAGGAAAATCTTGGGCAGAAAGAGCACAAAGCACTTCAATCCAATGGTGACGTATTTCAGCACAAAGTCGGTGATGCCCACGGCCCAGATCAGATCAAAGAAGTCAAAGCTGTTGAGGTTGGGCTTGGCAAATATGAGGCTGGAAGAAAAAGGAAAAAACCAACATCGGTTTAGACGACTTGTTACTGGAAAGTCTTGTCTTTTCACTTTAAATGGTAGAACAGCAAGCAAACGTGTTTAACATAATGTACAAAAACTCCCTGGAAACAAAATGCTGAAAAAATAAAAAATAAACTAAATACTCACAGGACAAGACCAGACATGAACAGGAACACTCCCTAAAAGGAAATGGAAGTAAAAAAAAATAAAAATAAAATAAAACGGCTTACACAACACAAAATGAATGGAAAAAACCTAAATATAAAATGAACACAAAACATGAGATGGCAGGCAAAGAAACACACAGCGACTATAAAAATACCTGCTCCAACACTACCTGTTGTGCAGCTCCTCGTGGCTAAATGTGTAGTAGATATACACTATGTTCCCTCCGAGGAACATGATGATCCACAGAGCCACAAATATAGAACGTTCCTCCTGGTAACATCAACAGAACCACAAATACATTCACTTACTTGTAATGTTGTGATTCAACACCATTTGCAATTATGCTGTGAATGAATACAAAGTGTTGTGTATTATTAGTCTGTCTGACACTGAGCTGCCACATGTCTTCATTCTGGAGGCATTAAACTAACACAGAACATCCTTTTTTTGGTGTGTTTTCATTGCTAAATAACTATTTACACACCTGTATTTAAAGGATGAGGATAATGAGATTTTTCTTTGAGTCAAAGAATCCCATGAAAAGACAAGAAGCATTAATGACTCCATCCACTTAGCAAGTTATTAAAAACCTTTTATGACATTACTTTGGGACATCAGGGTCAACTGTTGTCCAAAAACTGATAAGGCATGCAGATAGAGTCAGTAATATGTCACAATCATGGACACTGTAGTAGATCGCAATCTTTGTGAGAGGTTTGACGTAAACTTTTCAATATGCACTCTGGAGTTTTGCATATTTGCAGATTTCCCTGATGGATTTACCCGTGGTTCATAGCAAAATTGGTGACGTTTAAATGTGATGGTCCTGCCTCTACAAAGTGCAACAAACCAGGCCTGGATGGTGCTGGGAAGAAATCCACTAGGTTGTGTTTATTTATTGTACATTTGTAAAGTTATTTGTATTTTCATCAAAACTCCCACATACACCAAATAAATTGTCATCCTGACTTTTGCTAGCTTGCTAAAATGTATAAACACTATAATGTCACAGTGATCAACTGAGCAACTCATCAAACTGCGAATGAAACATGGATCACAATGTGTTGTTTCTGAGCAATCGAGTCCCAGTCCTTCTTCCTATAACATTTTGAGACCAAACACACTCGAGCTGTGACATCAGGCAGTGAAGGTTTAGATTTCAGGCCTTAAGGCAAAGACTGGGATTGAGCCAGAGTCCTTTTAGGTAAGTCTCATCACACCTGCAGCACCTTGGTAACGCCACTATCTCAGGCTAACAAGACCAGCTCCCGTCTAAACCAATGGGGAAGCAGCCATAACTGCAATTTCAATAGTCGCCAAAACATAAAAACTAATAACCAGTCAAAATTGGAAACAAAAAATGCTTTAAATGTTTGTTGACTTTGCTCCAAGATAAGGTTTAAAGAACTACAAGTTGCACTTTCACAACATCACTGCAAGACGACAGCTGATTGGACGTTTCCTGGTTCGGCTGGTACAAAATAGACAATTGGCTTTTTGACGGAGGGACACGTGTCACACAATACGAGTTGACGTTAACGAGAACCAATAAAAACAAAAAGCTTCTAATTAATTAAAAAGCTGTAGTCCACCTTATGCATATGAATACACATCTTTGACCTCTTTGGTGTCAAAACCACCATGAAGAGCCATATTTCTTGCTAAATTTTACCGAGTTTGGCTGCTCTCCTTTCATGGCATCATGACCAAGTTGTGTGTCTTTATGGGGGGTAGAAAACTCTGTTTGTCTAAATGTTATTGTCGACACATTTTTTTCAAAAATCAAGGTCTTGCTTTCTTTTCCAACACAATAATCCACTGAAGTTGCCAACCTACAAGTTACTGTTTCACTAAAGGCATGTAAGAAAAGCTTAGCCTAAATTTGATCAAAGATTTGTTTCACCCGTAATGAGACTTGGTGCCTGAACGTGGAGTTGGCGTAGGCAAACGTGCTGGCCATCCCCACACACACAGCGATACCTGCAAGAGAGCAGAGCAACATCGTCACCACATGAGACCTGATGCTGCTAAAGATGCTTTGATGTAATCAGATTGTGTTAGCAGCAAACTGGGATACCTAGTTTATGCTGAAAGCAGACTTTAGCCAGCAAAATGAGGATGAAAGGGAAGCCCCTCTGCAGCCAGGTGACCACCGCCTTTAACTCGGACAACGCTGGTGCCGGGGTGGACTGGTCCTCCTGGGCCTCCTCCCTGGAGCTGTGCCTCTCTGAGCCGGCGGCTGTGGTCGCCTGCTGGAGCAGAGAGGAGGTCCTGTGCTGCAGGGGCTGGTGGTGGAAGTGGTGGTGGTGATGGTGGTGCTGGGGCGGCCGGGGGAGGAAAGGTCCGCCCTCCGTGCGATGGGGGCCCCCTTCTTCTCGAGACGAGGCGGTCATCTGGATGAAAACTTCAGGAGGGGAGCCCAAGACTAAACCGGCAGCCTGAAACTGGGCAGAGGAGACGGAGCCGGAAGGGACTCCAACCAGGCCGGAGAAGATCTGCTGGGGTGAAGCGGGCGAGTCTGGCTTCAGGCAGTCAAACACACCACCCTCGTCCAGGCTGCTCTCCGATCCGAGGGTTTGGCTTCGGCTCCTGAATGAGGGAATAAAAAGTGGATGAAAAAAATAATTACCCTCGAAAGTCAAATTGTTCATATTCTATACACAATATTATTTGAATATATATTTTGTTTTGATATTATAAAAAAGGATGTATAAAATTCACAAGATTATTTCTCTATACAGGTGAGAAAAGCTAGTTTGTTTTTTAGAGATGCTTCTGTTATATCCAGCTTCTACACTATGAAAACGTAGCACACACCACACAGGAGTAAAATATTGCTTGACACCTCATTTCGAGACGAACTCTAACCCCAACACTCCGTATGTTACTTTGTGATTTGGTCACACAGTGTTCTCGTATCAAACTTCATTTTCTTCATGTTATTATATACATACTAGTGACACTCAGAAAATTAGAACATCTTGAAAAAGTTTAATATTTTCCATCAGTTACTCAGGAAAGTGATTTTTTTTTCATATTCTAGACTCATTACACATAAAGTAAAATACGTCAAGTCTTTATTTTTGTTTTGATGATTACAGCTTATAGCTCATGAAAATCAGAAAGCAACCGGGGCGCTATGCCACGCTGCAAAGATGCAGTAGTTCAACATAAAGGAGCCTCAACCATGTACTGAGTGTATAAATACACAAAACGTTGTACATGTCTGTATAGTAAATCCTAGTTTTTATTGATTTTAGGAAACATTCTAATAATTTAAGATACTGGGTTTCTGATTATCTTGAGCTATCAGCTAATACGGGAAAAAAATTACTATTTCATGATGTTTTTTGGAGGTGCACCTGTTTCACTATGTGATATGAAATCACCAAAAATTCCCATAGATTGTGTCACTGTCTGTTATTGACTCACTGATACAGTCATTTGTGTCATGCGGTGACATCTTGGTGCACAGGTCATGCACTCTGCCAGATGAGCTACTAAGGTGCACCTACATACTTTCATTTTTGGCCACTTTATATTATGCTTTTGTTTCGTTGATCAGTGGACTGCAAATTAAAATTAAGAGCAACTCCTTCCAGATATGCAACTATGACACACAGATGTGAGTGTTTAGGAGTTTAATCAGGACAACTCAGTGCAGTATGACGGATTTTGAGTTTATCCTTTGGATTTGCAAAGGGAGCACTTGCCACAAATGGAGCCTCAACAAGGTTGCCACCATGTCCAAAGCACACTGTGGTCTAGAATTTCATCATAAGCTGCAGAATTATGATTTATTTCAAGTGGAGCTACGAGGCCTTGCCAAAAAGACCCTCAGACTGTGCAGACAGGGGGGGATCTTCATCCATCCGGCTGCTTAGTGATTGAAAAAAAATACAAACATAAGGCTTTAAGAAGCAGCTGTGCAGTCTCTGAGAGGCTCCTTGTCCCACCTTTCAGAGGGCATGCCATCCGTGTTGCTGCTGTGTCTCCTCTGCATGGCATTCCGCTCATCACCACATGGGCCAGTCCTGCAAATGCAAAATCCACATCAGCATCAACACCTGACAGAGAGGCCGGCCTGCACATTTCAATCACCGGTCGTTCACCTCAGTGTCTCTCAGGTGTCTGACGTCAACGTGCACAACAATGCGTCGACTCTACCTGAATCGGTTCGGTGAATTCCCCTCCAGCCGCTGTCATAGTTTTGCTGTTAGACGGCTAGCTTGGATGCTGCTGCCAGGATGCGCCGCTCGGAAACACTTCCGCATGACGTCACCGCGGGCGCTCTCCACCAATCAGCGCGCTCCGTCCCGCCACACCACATCCGCGTTGGAAATTTGTTTTGCTGATATCGGATGTCTGATTTCGCTGGAAGAAAAAAAAAACACATCCCAGTTACTGCTTGTTTGACGTTATAATGGACGTTACCGAGTTGTTTTCTTCGGAGGAGACGAAACTGCGTCACTAGGCAGCGCCGCAGCGTGTTATTTCATCATCCGTGCCTGGCGAAAGCTAATGCTAACGCCAGCTAGCTAGCAGGCTAACAAAGCAGGCTTTTGTGGTAAAATACTGTTAGCTTGCATGCACACCACCTAACTGAGCTGTGCCAAAGCTGAATTCATGTTTACAGCTACCGATAAAGACTTCAGCGGCTTAGATTAATTTTTAAACGTGCAACATGGGTTAGCTAATCTCTATTTTTGTGCGTTTATTATTTGCATTCAGACAAATCCTGCCAGGTTAGCTTAGTTTTACATGCAGTTCATCACCATCAGGTTGACACACATCGCTTCATAAACCCCGACAAACGACAGACAGGGAAGGAATTGACTCTTGTGGAGGTTTGATGTTTTGGACTATCACCTGCATATCCCCAAGAAAGCCATGCTATGATGGTGCTACGGCGGCTACTGAGAAAGCGCTGGGTGCTGGGAGTAGTCTTCGGGCTGTCTCTCATCTACTTTCTCACCAGCACGCTCAAACAGGTACAGACACTCACATTGAACTTCAGCAGATGTTAGCATCCTCCACTCAAGGAGAAGGCCGTCCGAACATGATCCATGGGATGTGTGGTTTTATTGCACCGTAGCATTATGTTTTGGAAAACAACCACGTGGGAATGTTTGTCTTCAGTCAGCTGTCAAATGAAGATGCTCCTTCACAGTGATGACAGAGTCTGTAAAACCAATTACATCCTAAAGCTGTCCTTTTCACGAGCCTTAAGAATTGACCTCATTGGCCTAATCCAGGAGGTTTCCAACGGATGACTACATTGGTGTAGCCATTATAGCACCTCACTACTTTTTAGGTGCAAGACTAATGTGTGGACATCAAATGGCCTCATAGATTTAAAGTCTCTCACTTATTTTTTGATCAGATGCATCTTTACCATGCAGTGTTGCCCATCATAGGGATGACAATATCACAACTGCGATTTAATTTGAAATATAATTTTTAAAAAGTCAAACTTCACTTCGGTATTCGCCGTGTAATCAGTTTAAAATGTGTGATGGAGCATGACCACATATTATTACCAGGAGGACAGAGTGATTTAGTGAAACAGTTCACACAACAGTGTAAATCATGGGTCAGACGCACTGCAAAAATGCACAAAGTCTGACTTTAAAATATTATTTGCATTGTCGTATTATCTGTCAGTTATTTTTACGATAAACTGATTAGTTGTTTGGTCTCTGGAAGGTTAGAAAATGTTAAAGAATGTTGATCAGTGTCTCCCACAGCCCAAGAAGATGTCCTCAAATGTCTTGTTTTGTCCACAACCCAAAGATATTAAGTTTGCAGTCATCAAGGAGTAAAGAAACCAGAAAATATGCAAAATGAAAAAGGTTGAATCATACAGTTTTCATGTTTTTTTTTTTCTTTAAAAAAAAAATATGCTCAAACTGATTAATCAATTATCAGAATAGCAGACAATTCATTTCATAGTTGACAACTAATTGGTCAGTTTATTGTTGCACTTTGCTATTAAACACCCAGACTGGGCTTATAGCAGTTGAGCCACAGCGTGCAGCATCCTTGAAAATGTGTTTTATTACAAGTCTGTTCTTATGCATACATGCACTCAGCAATGGCAGCGAGCTGCCATCATGATCGGTTTGGGTCTTAGGAGTGTTTAGGACACGAGGACAGCGTGCTCTCCACAGCTTCTATATGTCATAAAGCTTTAATGTCCATTGCACCATTTCAATTTCCATTGCACCAAAGATATAATTTGCACATATCCATTTGTAAATATACACCATGCCATATATTCATGTAAATACCATTGTTTGTTTGTTTGTTTATTTATTCGATATATCTGCACTTTATACTCTGCACTATTGCACTTCTGGTTAGGTGCTAACTGCATTTCGTTGCCTTGTACTTGTACATATGTAATGACAATAAAGTTGAATCTAATCTAATCTAAAGCATCAGAAAATTGCCATCACCATTTTATCCAGCCAGAAGAAACATATTCAGTTTGCTTGTTTTGTGTATTTTAGCGATCCAAAACCCAGAGAGGTTCAGTTTAACAACGTTATCACCTCCTCTTCATATAAAGAAAAGGTTATGAAGAACAACGTTTTTGGTTGTCAACATAAGATAGAAAAAGTTGTTTGCCGTTATAAAATTTGTCAGCGCTGTTGTTTGAAAATGTCAGTCAGTTCCCATCCATGCTGTTTGTGCCACTTTGTGAATCATCATATTGTCTGACCCTCTTCAGAACTGTGACCTTATTGGTGTGAATCTTGCAGGAGGAGCGGACCATACGGGACCGCACGCTCTTAGAAGTTAGAGATTCAGATCACCGCATCCCCTGGAAAGTCCGATTCAATCTGGGCAACAGCAGCCGACAGATCACTCAGTGCAGAAACTCCATCCAGGGCAAGACGCTGCTCACTGACGAACTAGGTGAGTAACGCAACCTTTACTCGCCGCCGTACCGTGATGATAACGCAGCGGCTCTACGATGGTGTTGTTTTGTTTTTAATCATTGCTTATCTGTGTTAATGTTTCGCAGGTTATGTCTGCGAGAGGAAAGACTTGCTGGTTAACGGCTGCTGCAACGTCAATGCTCTCAGCACCAGGCAGTACATCTGTAAAAGCTGCCTGGCCAATGGCTGCTGTAGCATCTATGAGTATTGCGTGTCTTGCTGCCTCCAGCCTGATAAGGTAATCTATTACATCAAGGGCCTTTAGGGGCAACAATCATTCAACTGTCAACCTGTTGCATCTAGCAAGGGACATTTTTGAATGGATGATCCCGAAATACAAGAATTCTTGTCTTGTGTGTCGCTGACTTAAATGCTGATGATGCATTTAATACATAGCAGGGACTATAGGGGAGTTTAGAAGGAGCAAAATGATTGAAATCTGCATTTAAGTGCTTTAACACATCCTCACTTCCTTATCTGTGCGCTCTTCTTCAGCAACCTCTCCTCGAGCGCTTCCTGAATCGTGCAGCTGAAGGTTTCCAGAACCTCTTCACTGCTGTGGAGGATCATTTCGAGTTGTGCCTGGCCAAGTGCAGGACGTCTTCACAAGTACGTTATGAGCTGAAAAAAAAAAAAGCGGCTCAAATCTGACCTGATTTCACTGTCAGAACTACGCATCTAATCGTAGTCATTTTCAAACAAAGCGTAGCTATTGAAAGTCACACAGATACAAAACCACACGTATCACCAATCTCTTGACAGTTAAAGTCAATATTTTTTCTCATAGCTATAGACAGCTGTCAAAGCTGGAGAGAAGATATTCATCATTGTGACTCATTGCAGTTGTCTCATAAATTTCCTGTGTGTCTAAAACAGTAAAAGTTGTTGCTAATCAAAAATGAATCCTCAGAGAACAAAATCTGTCATCATATTGATCCTGCACTTGCTTTGACCTTTGCTCGACCCAATATTAAGTGCTCACAAAAGTTAAAACTAATGTTGTACAGTTCTCCTCAAATGTATTCGTACCCAGCTGTCACTGAAATAAGTTGCAATTGACAAAAGTAATAATAAATAAATTTTGAATTGTGGTTCAACAGAAATATTTAAAAAATTAAAATTAAAAAACAAACAAACATGATGGGACCTGTAAACTAATATTTTGCTGAACAACCCTTTGAGCCAATCACTGCATCAAGTGTTCTCTGTAACTCTCAATCAGACTTCTCCACCTGTTGACAGGTGTTTTGATTTTGACCAACTCCTCATCAGCAAAGTGCTCTCATTTGTCTGAGACAGCTTTTTTTTTTTTTTTTGATTATTCTTTTCAACCACAATTCAAAAACAAACATCTTATTTCACTCAATTACAATTTAGAACATTTTTATTATTTATTACTTTTTTCAGTTTCTAGTTATTTGAGTGACTATTGTGAATTTTGCCTTTTCTTTAATGGATGGGTCTGAATACATGTGAGGATGCTTCACACTGTTCTTCGCATGATCACAAAAAAATACTTGAATAAACGAACCTTTTTTTTTTGTCATCATTCAGAGCGTTCAACATGAGAACACCTACAGAAACCCTCAAGCAAAATACTGCTACGGTGAGAGTCCTCCAGAGCTCCTTCCTGTATGAGTGGTCGTCTCAGAAACCATACGTCTGTGGTTTAGGAAGAGGAACAGGAAGAGCAGCGAGTCGATTAAATGACCGTATTTGGACACCTGAAAGGAGGTCTGGAGATGAGACACTGTAAATGAAGTCGCCGTCTTGGATGTTTTTCTTCTACGTTTTTATTTTTTGTTGTTGTTGCGTTATCGCGGCGAAGCGATGAAGACATCAAAGAAGGACCTCAAAAATGGACAAATGCTGTATGTGATTTGATTATTTACACTTCATAAGTGCATAGAACACTTCCTACGTTCATCCGTGATGATCATCAGGTCTACACAACGGGCAGCTCATCCACCAGGATTTGCTTCAAGGTCATGTCATGAAAATAGGCTTCATTTTAAACCTCTTTTTATTTTATTTTGTTAAATACATGTTAAAGCAGCAACGAATGTGTCCTTCCGTCTGTGTACAGTGCATGCATACGAAACGGCTATTTAATAAAAGTGACTGTGAAACGAAACTGGTTTGTAGTCGATGAATTTTATGAATGGCATGCAATTTTTTATTTTTTTTTATAGTGCATTTGCATTTTTTTTACAGGTTTAAAGTACAGTTCAATGCTAGTTAGTTTACCAAAAATAATAATCTTTTTTTTTTTTTAAAGAATGAATTTTATGGCTCGTAGAAGATACTATGGGTTTAATTTAACAGAGAAAATAATCAAACAAGCCAAGTGATCTTGAATTTTGTTTTATTAAAAAAACAAAAAAAAAACAAGGTTTAATAAAAAACATAGTTATTTAATTAATTTCAGTCTTTTAAAGGAAAGTTTGTCTGACTATTATAAAATGTCACTTTTATCCACAATATAAAACACTTCAGGAATCCTGATGATTTTTAACCATACAAAGACTCATTTAGAGGCCATACAGAACAAACAAACAACTAACTTGTAACAGAACAATAATTGATGACCTAATTCTTGCAGAACGAGCCCCACATTAATCTTTTTTTTTTTTTTTACAGTGTTGTTCTCTTTGACAGTCTTATCTGCCTCGCTGTGCACTGTCCATCTGTCCGCAAATTTCACTGCGAAATGCAGTGATTGGAGTCCAAACCGGCGATTCTTATCGGCTTGTCTTTCTACCTCAGGCGATGTGAGCCGGCTCACAGGGGATAGGTGGCACGAGCAAAACAATTAATCACTGTGAAGGCTGAGAAAACAAACTGTCGTAATTAGGAAATGTATTAGAGCCCCTTCTCATTTGCTCCGCTGGCATGTTGATTAATCACCACCGTGGGGGAACGTGTCAATTGCTGTGAGGTATCGAGTTTAACAAAACAAAGGCATTTCTGATATAGATTTAATGATATGATATAGTAGGATATTGGCACGTGTGCTTTGTTGCTTAAAGTTAGGAGATGATCGGTACCTGTAAAGTGAATAAGGAGCTTCAGCTGCCAGGAGGTTAAATGCAAGAAATAGTCTTGCAAGTACACAAGTTAAAATCGCAATTTGGTATTTACATTTTTATTTTTTATTTTTTTTAAAGATGTGCTGATGGTTGCCGTTTCCCCCATTTGCAGTCTTTATGCTAAGCTAAGGGTGCTACATTTACCTGATAAATAAAAGATCTTAGCTCTTCCGTTGTACTCAATGCACAGACACGACATCATCAACAACTGTTTCATCCAACAGCAGAAGGAAAAGCAATGAACAGTTTGCCAAACACGTCAAAAAATGCCTTTAAAGAGCTGAAATTCCACTTTAGAAGCTGTTTAAATGGCCATTTAGACTATTTCGGGCAAATTATTTTATTCCAACAGAGTAAAAACTGAGACACACTGTGTGACTGTCTGACACAAAAGTATATTCAAATTGTACAAAAATATATAAGTTAGAAAATAAGCTGCCATAATCTGTCACCACATCTGCATGACCAACTGCCATCAGCTTGTCTAAAACTACAGTTGGTATCTGCTCCCTTCCAAGTACCTCTGAGGTGTTACCTTGATAACTTTAGGTTTCACCTTATTTGCTTCTTTCATTTTGAAAACGTGGACCACAAGCTTGCGCTGCAGCCAGTCAAGATAGTGCTTGGCTGTCTTTAACAGAGTGTGACCAAACTGTTTCCTCTCAAACGCATGCTCAGGCATCGCTGGCGGAGAAGGTTTTGAGGGGCATTCACCCCCCAGAACATTCTTCAGACACGTTGCCAGCAGTTTCACCCTGGAGATGGTGTCGTGGAGCTTTTTGTGAAGGGCAGTGTCTCCGGGGTTTAGGTTGTCTTTCTGGTCCTTCAAGACCTCCTCCAGGCCTTTAGCCATGAAGATGAGGCCGCACTGAACCTCTGAGCCGACAACAGGAGCGTTCTGGTGGACCTGCAGCTCGGGGAAGCCAGGGGACCAAGCACCGAGGTGCTTCCCATTGGCTTCGTCCTGGAAGAGAAGATCAACGGTGATGTTAATCAGAAGATATATTCTGCTCATTACATGGAAATTCAAGTCTGTACCCTCGCTGATGGTGTTACAGATATGGTGCTAATCTCTGTCTCTGCAGGATGATGCAAGAGGACGTCTCAGTATAACACAGCAACACAAAAATGTGTCTGTAGTTTAAATAAAAGTTGAGATTCTAAATGTACCAATAGGCATCTCAAAAGACACATTTTGGACAATGAAGCATTTACAGATGCAACAAAATGGACCAAAAGCCCATCCTACACACTGAAGTGAGACATTTGCATAATTTAACAGTGATGTGATGCAGTCAAATGAAAAGATGCGGCTGTTTTATTAGTGTTGTAAAATATGCATTAAAAAAAAAGTGCATCTTTTTGTCTTTCTGACACCCACAAATAAACCCATCCCTCTGTAGAAAGCACATGTACCCACATGCTGGCTTTGCAATTTTTTAGAAAGATTTTCATATTTCTTGTGCATTTCTTGTGTGGGGGCGGGTATTTACAGCCTATTTGATGCTATTGTACTTCTATTTTAGAGAAACTGGGAAATATTATCCTTTTGCATAACTTACAGTATATTTACAACTATAGCTGTTAGTTTTTAAATCTAAAATTTCACATCAGTGTTGTAATAAATGTGACAGAGATGCATTTCCATGTGTAAATCTTGTTTAATCTACAACAAACTGGTTAAAATTTGCTTCACTGCCACTAACTGCTGCATTAAAAGGCTGCTTACTTGCACCACATCAAGAAGTATGACAGTAATGCATGCTGCACATGATCTTTAGAGATTTATTAGTGCTATTTATGGTGCCACATTTTATTACTAATATTTGTTATGTGCATTTTGACTGCAGAGCTTAAAGGTATAATGGACAATATCTTTACATTGTTCCTCAACTAAAAGATCCCTGCATAGTTTGAATGACAATTTCTTTCAAATGTTTATTCTGTTACTTGAAGCTAAAAGAGCTCAAATCTGAAGAAGGAACTCTGCAGCAACATTCAGATAAACAGTATTCTGTTACTTACAAAACTAGTCAAAGTCTCTTCCACCAGACTTCTGGCGAGGGCTGCCAGCTCCTTCGGTCTGCACGGGGAAGCAGCAGCAGCAGCAGCTCGTTTCTGTGGTCCTGCATGCCGTGCATCCAGTCCTTGCATCAGAATCGCCATCCATGCACATGCAACTGTCAGCAAACCTGCAAGTCAAGTCCACAATTTGAAGTGAGAACGATGACGTAAACTGTGCTTCCTGACACACTGGTTAATAAATAATGTGGCATATCGTACCTGCTCTGTGTTTCAGAACCATTGTTCCTCCTCTCAAAGGTCAAGAACAGATTCTAGGGTGATCTCAGTCATGCAGTATCATTTTTATATGAGCAAACTTCTCAAAGGAGGCGTGTGAATGAGGTGTTGAAGGCAAACTCCCCCCCACATATCTCAGCAGTATCCTTTGATGAAAAAAATGAAAACCGGTTGACGTTGGGTTCCTTTGGCAGGTCAGCACCTTGCACAATTTTTTTTTTTTCATTTCCACAGGAGGAAGTACCACAAATCTCTGATGAAGAGGATGTATATGTGATATAGTTGTCACGCAACCTAACCATAGATCACCTTAAACACGGAGAATCATCTGAAATATTCTGCAAACTAAACCAAACTCAATTATTAGTGACGAATTGTTTTAGATTTTGCTTCACACAGAGAGAAAACATCCTGTAAGTCCCGCTACACCAAAGCTAATGTATAAAGTAGATATTCAAATTCACTTTCACTATACGTCAGTTGTTTAGGAGGTGGGTTTGTGACGGCATATTTACGCTGTGGCTGATTCATTTGCTCTCTGATCCCCTTACGCAACGACTTCCTGCGCGTAGATGTGACTCGAACCACAACCCGCCAATATCCTTTTGTGACCAGTTCATTCCAGTTTAGACGTCTGACGACACTTTGCAATTACACGATGTTGGTTGATTTGCTCGATGAGAAATTCAAATCAAAGATGATGATGATGATAAACAGTCAGGTTCTTGAGAAACAGTTGAGTCACTTCAGTTTTTGTTGTCGTTGTGACGACTTTTGGGTCACTTTAGCTCCAAAAGTGTTACAGAATAATACAGAATGTGAGTTATCAGGTTTGGCAGGTTGAAGATTGTGTTTATTTTCAACACGACAATTTGCAGCATGCATTTAATAGCAGAAAAGTTAACAAAACACACAAATGAACACTGTGCATTTCAAGAACACAGAACAAAAATAAGAAATCTAATTTAGAAAAAGAACTCCCTCAGCCTCACCTGGAACATACCACCTGTTCAGGTGAGCACAGACGTGACCCAACAAGTATGAAGTATTAAAAAACACAAAATAACAAAGAAAACATTCATTTAATATTTATTAGTTACTGCTGGTTATCACTTGTTCTTTTATGTACACATTCGAGCACGCACCATCTTCAACTTTATCTGGTTTATTACAGAAAACTTTGACACGTCCCCCCAACAGTCTCCATCCAGGTCTGACGATCTAATGATGCCAACCTGTTTCACTCATCACCAGTTGAGTGCGTCCACATCAACATCACAGCAAAATAAATAAAACAAACAAACAAAAAAACCCTCACAGCTTACATGTGTTAAAATAAATTACTAATCAATACACACTGGACCGATATAAATGATACAACACTCAGAAAGATGCTGCTCATGTTGAAAACAAAGGCAGGTCGTCTTTTCCCAAACTTGCCTTCACGTGTTTTACTGGCTTTTCTTCTATGTACATTGCAAAAACTGCTTTAATTGAGGTGCTACATCATATAAATAATAATAATAATATAACGGTTTTATTGCTGTTTAAGAATAATAAATACAATAAATATATATTCCATAAATATATAAATAATCCAGTTTAAGCTACATCAGTGTCCGCTGACAATAGGTGGAATTTACATTCATACATATACATTGTCAACAAATAAATATGCATAAATATCATCTCAGTAGTAGTCGAACATAAACAAAACAAGGCTTTCATACTAAAAATGTCCAAGTCGCGCAAAGCAAGCTCATTGTTTCCAGTGGATGGTGGATTTTCACCCGATTTTGCAGCCAACCATCAACTCAAACGCAGTCAGAATACTGGAAATAAACAGGCAGGAGCTCGCTCAAGCGCCTCAGAAGACATCGCGCAACTGTTTTAGCAGCTTTAGCAAAACTATCTCGTCAAGGTTTCGGCTAAATTGGTGGAATACCTCTTTAATCGACCTGAATTTATGCTGTGTTTTCAAGACACACTTTCTCTGCCTCCTTAAGTACCAGCAGCACTTCTGCAACCCAGTCCTTCAGTCTGTCTAAAACACCCCAGCCATACTCTTTCTTTGCGTAGGCATCATCGTGGGACAGCGTTGGTGAGGACGGCGTTGCCAGCGCGGTGTTTTCTGGATCTACATGTTTGAGAACATTCTTTATTCTATGTAAAAGGTTGGAGAGTCCACCCTTGACACGTCTCAAAGGTTCCAAAACTGGTTGAGGGTTGGTCAAAAGATTCTGTTGGTATTCTTCTACTTGTGAAAGGTGCCGAATAAAAAGCACGATCTTGGCATAGATGTCCTGCAGCTTCTCCGAAATGTTGCTACCAGATATTGTGGAGTTTGGAACGTCATCTGGAATCAATCCGTTCCTGGTTCCATGATGCTCTATCTGTAAGAAGAAGACAAACAGACATGAAGTGGAGTCGGCATGTATCTGAGAGAGGACGGAAGGGAACATTTTAAAAGATTTTTCAACACAGGAAGCATCTCCTGTCCTTTAACATTGTACATGCAGAAAATCGCCATTAAAAATAAGGACGCAAGCACATTAGAGTTAGCTGTGCAGTAAATGGCAGTTAAAGGTGCTGCAGTCTGAAGCAGATAAAGTTTTAATTCTTACATTGAATCATAACTTATTTGTTAATAATGGTATTCCCCTGCCTTCGCCCTGAGTCGGCCGAGATCGGCCCCAACCCTCGCGACCCTAGTGAGGATTAAGCGATGCATAGATAATGGATGGACGGCTTGACTAAATCCAATTAAATTCAGTTTTATCTATATAAAGTCATCTCAGTTGTAAGTCAGCTAAGTTGCTTTATCTAGTTAAGTCAGTACCTTACAACATTATATTATAGACTCAGTGATTCTCTTTGAGCAAGCACTTTCCAGGAGTCGAAAAGAAAAAAAAAACTCCCTTCTAACAGAAACTTCCAGCAGAACCAGGCTCACGGAGAGCAGACATCTGCCTCGACCAGCTGTGGCGAGGGGGGGGAGCAGACTAAGAAAAGATGAGCAGTGGAAAAAAAGCTCTATTAAGTCACACCCGGTTCACACCCAACATTCCCTCCTGCTGGTAGATCACATTCAAAATATTCAGCTAGCAAAAGAAAAACAGAAACGTCAGGAGTCACTTCAGGCTGACTGTGACTGAGTTGTGCAACACTGGTTGCTTTTGGGCATTTTTGACTGTTTTGAAGGTAAGGAAACGTTAATACTCAGTTGTTTTTTTTTATCACAATGTGAGTTTGTTTGGCTGCTTCCACCAGCTGCTCCTCTGCTGTATTCCAGACTCAGTAGCTGCTCAGGGAGTGTTTTTTTCTAACCTAAATGCAAAGAATTACAAATTTAAAGTTCCAAAATGCAGCTTTAAACTTTGCAAACAGATGTGAGATGACAGTGATTTGCGTCTGAAAAGAGAAATGTCGATGTTTTGCTCAATCGGCAGAGCGTTTGCTGTACGTCAACACACACGATTCGAGGACCGAGCGGACAGAGTTAATCATGTTGTCCTACAAAGAGCCGCGAGGTTACAGCAACATTTAGAAAAAAGCAGGTATCATATTGCAAATCTCACACAAATATAAAATTTGGATCAAGTTTCCAAGTGGTTTTGGGGCAATTTTGTCCTCATGTTTACAACAAACTATACAGCAAGCAGGGCAGGAGGTATACCATCTGGGGGGGTACTTACGTATTTCTCCAGCAGCCCTTCTGATTCGCGTTTCAATAACTCCGTGAGAGACTTAGTGTTGTTGAAGTTAACGTGACAGCTGGAATGAATCGGACCCGAAACCACGAGACTCCAGTGAGCTTCCAGGAGCATCAGGACGAGTACTGAGAAAAGATCGAGCAGATACAGGTGACTCAAAATGTGACACAGAGGACAAGGGGGAAAGAACGTCATCTGTTCTACGGTGGGTTCCTCTTTAAAACAGGAAAGCGTGTCATTGCTTAAGCGAATCAACAAGATTTAGCAAATATCAGCACAAAAAGGAGTTTTTCCCCCAAAAAATAAATCCTTTAAAAGTGAGCTGAGACCTGTCTTTATCTAGTGTTCAGTCTCATGTGAGCCTTCTGAACAAATAAATACACATCTAGGCACATGCATGAGCAGTAAAGCTTACTTGTAGCATATTTCATTGTGCGTGTTCTATGAAGTATAATTGAGATGTTTACCAAAGTGCATCAGACGTCCGCTCGGTTTGCGATCCATTGCGTCTGCAGTAACGGATTCACTTGATGCTCAGCAATACTTGATCAACTCTGGCAGCTGGCCTATATATATGCTATTGGAAGTTCAGTGTCATCTACACCCTCCCACTTTGACACACAAGGAATGACAAAATTCCATGATGACGTTTTTTGCGAAAACTCATGTTATGACAGATTGTGTCGCCGATATCAGAAGTTGGTTATAAGCAGAGGTGTGACTAAATGTTACAAAACTG